ATACCAAATTAGAAGGCAGCCGAGGGGACAACTGTGTGGGTGAAAGAAAAGGGAAATCAAGCTTGAAGGAATAGCAGAGTCTGGGAAAGACTATAACTGTGGGTTGTGGAAACCTGAAAGGAATTGGCCAACAGAATGGAGATGCCTATCAAGGGAGTTTAATTGAGGACGGAAGGAGAGAGGGATAAACCAAATCACTTGGCTGTTACTCTTTGGAATTCTTCTTATTTCCTTGTTTCAATATCAATGTGTGCCTCAAACGTAAATGCAGTTTTCCCTTTAAGTTGCAAAGTGAATCAATCTGTTATATTTCTTTTTTTTTTTTTGAGACAGAGTCTCAAGCTGTCACCCTGGGTGGAGTGCTGTGGCATCATAGCTCACAGCAACCTCCAACTCCTGGGCTCAAGCAAGTCTCCTGCCTCTGCCTCCCAAGTAGCTGGGACCACAGGCGCCCGCCACAACGCCCAGCTATTTTTGGTTGCAGCCATCATTGTTGTTTGGCAGGCCCGGGCTGGATTTGAACCCACCACCTTGGGTGTATGTGGCTGGCGCCTTAGCTACTTGAGCCACAGGTGCCGAGCCAATCTGTGCTACATGTGTCAAAGGTTTCTGCAGCATCCATTCCAGACCCCCACAGTGTTACAGGGCTTAAGCATTTATTCAGATTGTAATATCTATGGGGTGTGTAAGAGTTATTAGGGTATTATGCTATATTTTATCTAAGGATATAATTTATAAAATTTTTCTAAATGTAGAGTCCACTTAGTCATAAAGAAAGTCTTTTGTCACAGTGACTCTTTTTTTTTGAGACAGAGTCTCTGTCCCCTGGAGTTGAGTGCTATGGTGTCATAGCTCACAGCAACCTCAAACTTGTGGGCTCCAGCAATCCTCCTGCCTTCCTGCCTCGGCCTTTGGAGTAGCTGGGAGTACATATGCCCACCATAATGCCCGGCTAGTTTTTCTATTTTACTAGTCAAGTCTGGGTCTTGCTCTTGTTCAGGCTGGTCTTGAACTCCTGAGCTCAAGTAATCCATCTGCCTGGGCCTCCCAGAATGTAGGATTACTATGTCCAGCCATTTGCAGTAACTCTTGATTTTACTTGATTCTGTAAACATTGAACATTGTAGATATTGTTTGGGTGCATCACAAGACATCAACAACATGTGATTGTGTTCCTTGTTTCTGTTATTTGTCTAGAGAATTATTTGTAGTTTGAGATAGTTTATTTTGCTTTAAAATAAAGGTATACCCACTTTGATACTATATTTAAGAGCTACTAAATATCTAATTTTCTCTTTACTCTGAACTGATTAATCAGTAAAATTACAGGAGTCTTGCCTAGAGCAGTGTTTTGCAAGTGAGACGCAAAAAGCTAATACACATGAGAGTATGCCATTTACAAGCATTAGACAACACAGCAGAGTATAGCATTGAAGTTTACATCCATACCAGCCTCCCCACCCCACTCCATCTCTTCTCCTTTGAAAATTTATCCTTCAGTACCATTTTTTGTGCATGTGTTAGATTTTATACACATATAAACAAGCAGGGAGGGGTTGTTTAATTTTTCTTTGTTTTTTACATAAATGAGATCTTGGCCATTGTTTTGCAGCTTGCTGTTTTTGTTTACTTAGTATGTCTTGGTAAATTCTGTTTCACTGCTGATAGACCACCTCATTCTTTTTAACTTCTGTATTCTTTTCTGTAATATAGATTTAGTATTATTTCTCAGTTTTCTGGTTTGGTTTTCCAGTTTTTTAATCATTATAAACTATCATCGTTGAACATCTCAATGTAAGTATCTTTCTATATAAATTTGGGTATTTGAACGGAATTGAATGAAACAAAATATTGAGGAACTGTCTGAAACATTACAAAATTCTAACATTGATCAGAACAATATAAGAAAAATACCACATTCTATTCCTTTCTTGGGTTTCCTGGTCTTGCTTTGACATTGCTTCCTCTGATGGTTTTTTTATTTTTTTGTAAACAGAGTCTTACTCTGTCACCCTAGGTAAAGTGCCATGGTGTCATAACTCATAATATCCCCAGTCTCTTAAGCTCAAACGATCCTCCTGCCTCAGCTTCCTGAGTAGCTGGGACTTCAGGTGCCCACTGCAAACACCTGGCGAGTTTTTCTGTTTTTAGTAGAGGCAGATTCTTGCTCTTGCTCAGGCTAGTCTCGAACTTAGGAACTCAAGCAATTCACCTGTCTCAACCTCTCAAACTGCTAGGATTACAGGATAGATTTTCCTAAGTCTTAACAACTGTCACGTCATTAGTAACAGTAACTTTTTTGAAAAATTAGTAACAGTAACGTTTTTGAAAATGAACATTCGGAGAGTAAACACCCCCCATCCTCTCCTTACCTGCATTTCTATTTGTTTTATTGCACTGCCCTAACTTATTCTAGAAGGCTTTCTTTTCTCCATCCATGTGCCCTCTGTGGTTTCAGGACCTCCCACCCTCCCCCAATGAGCTGCTTTCCCGTGATTGCGCACAGTGTCATTGGGTGCCCTTTTAAAACCCAAAAGTTGCTCATGGAGACCTCAGCTCATGCCTTTGTATAATCAGCTCTCTAGGTTATGTTGAGATTACTTTACTTTTACGGAATCTTTATATAACATGCTCACCATTAACTGTGCTAAGCGTTGTTTTAGTTTATTGAATCCAAAGGTTACTACAAATCCAAGCTAACTTCATTTAGCTACTATTTAGGAGTTATAAGAAAAATGGATACATTGAAATATCTGTAATATATTGATATATTTAATTTCCTTATCCCCTGGCACAATTCACTCCCTTATAGTTCCCAAAACTCTTGAGGCAGGATCAGGTATATGCAGTTTATTTATACTGGGTACATTTTCAGGTCACACTTCATAACATATTACTAAGGCTGTTGAGAATTTGGTTAGAGTAGTGGTTCTCAACCTGGTTGCCCTTAGGAAGCCTTTTAAAAATAGGTCTCCTCCCCAGATGTCCTATCTAATTGGTTAGGGGTGAGGGTTAGTATTCATATTTTCTAAAAACTCCCTACATGATTTTAGGGTATAGTCTGTATTGAGAACCACTGAGTTAGAAGCCATGCTAAAAGAATTTTTTTATTTTCTAAGTATTTACATATAAAATATAAGTGTTTAGCTAGTTCCCCTAGTGACATCCTTCTGAAGGTGAAGTCTGGCAAGTTTAATCTGCAGATTAGGACAAGGTAATACATTTAACTTTTGTGTGGCACAGTGTCCCTCTTCTATAGCCTTGTATTAGTTTTCTAGGGCTGCTGTAACAAATTGATATAAATTGTGTGGTTTAAAAGAACAAATTTATTCCCTAATAGTTCTGGAAGGTAAAAGTTCACAGTCAACGTGTCAGCAGGGGCATGCTCTCAGAAGGTTGTTAGTCAGTGGATTTTTAAGGCCCACCCTAATCCAGTATGACCTCACTTTAACTTGATTACGTCTGCAAAGATCCTATTTCCATGTAAGGTCACATTCACAGTTGCCAGGGATTAGGGATAAAGAGTGATGAGTAAGAGATAATGTGAAATTGCAAAAACTTACTCTCCCTGAAGGGAGGAAAAACATTTAGAATCTCTGTTCTAATGATGAAAGAGTAACTAAAATATGAAAGCTTGGGAAACCCCTTTCCCTTTATTTTTAATTTTACAGCTTTCTCCAAGACTTTAACTTCTCTGGTAGTGCTCTGGGTTATCTATGGAGTATACTAAACATTTTTATTTTGCAGCTTCTCTACAGGGATTTTTGTTTGTTTCTTTTTTTTTTTGGTTGCAGCCATCATTGTTGTTTGGCGGGCCCGGGCTGGGGATTCGAACCCACCACCTTAGGTGTATGTGGCTGGCGCCTTAGCCTCTTGAGCCACAGGCGCCGAGCCGTTTGTTTCTTTTTTTGTTACATTTTTCAATTAAGTAAGTGTGCCAGCCTTGTTCTTGTTGATTAGAATCTCTTGTGACTGCGGCTTTTCTAAAGATCTGGTGTTGGGCTTGGGAATCTGTACTTTGAACAGTACCCCAAGTGGTTCTTTATTCCTAGTCAAGTTTGGGGAACATAACTTTACAGTCTGGGACTGGACCATCTGAATGGTTTGAAGGTGATTCAGGATGGATCCAGGACATGGAAGACTTGGTGCTATCATCCAAGGAGACTGCTGAGTATTTCTTGGTTCCTAATCTGATGATCATCAGAATCACCTGAGAAGCATTTAATGCTGGAGATGTCTAGATTCAGCTTCAGAGATTCTATAACAATAGGGGAAACTTAAAGCTTTCCAGGTGATTCTGATCACCAGCCAGCCAGGTTTGAAGATCAGACCACTGTTCTACAAAAAGTAAAGGGTTTGGAGTCAGGATTTCAGTCTTGGTCCTTTCACTTCTAATACTTATGATCTTGGGTAAAAGAATTAAAGTTCTGTGGTGTCTTTTTGAAGAGACACAATTATAAAGTGGACATTTTAGCTATAAATTTCTTATCAGCATACAATCAAATGAAAGGAACTGGTAAAAATTTCTCAACATAGGAAAGTCTGATTTTCCACTATATTTATTTTATGGATTAAGTAATAATATTTGGGATAATTAAGTGACTTGCATAAATTTGTGTATCAAATTGATAATGTAACTGGTGTCTGAGCTTTTGATTTCTTTTTTTTTGGAGACAGAGACTCAAGCTATCCCCCTGGGTAGAGTGCCGTGGCATCACAGCTCACAGCAACCTCCAACTCCTGGGCTCAAGCGAGTCTCCTGCCTCAGCCTCCCAAGTAGCTGGAACCACAGGCGCCTGCCACAACGCCCGTCTATTTTTTTGGTTGCAGCCGTCATTGTTGTTTTTGGTGGGCTCGGGCTGGATTCGAACCCGCCACCTTAGGTGTATGTGGCTGGCACCTTAGCCACTTGAGCCACAGGCGCCAAGCCAGCTTTTGATTTCTTGTTTAATTATTAAGTATACTGCCTCCTGAATTAATTGCTTTTCATTTTCTTTAAGATCTAATTATCATGGACCTGCGACAGTTTCTTATGTGCCTGTCCCTGTGCACAGCCTTTGCCTTGAGCAAACCCACAGAAAAGAAGGACCGTGTACACCATGAGCCTCAGCTCAGCGACAAGGTTCATGATGATGCTCAGAGTTTTGATTATGACCATGATGCCTTCTTGGGTGCTGAAGAAGCAAAGACCTTTGATCAGCTGACACCAGAAGAGAGCAAGGAAAGGCTTGGGTAAGGTGTCAGGTCTCAGGGGGGTAGTTGGGGTAATGACATTCTTTATAAATCGGTGAATTTTTTTCTTCTTTTCTGGCTCAGTCATCAGCAAAACTGTATTGAACTGTATCTTTTGAAAGCTAACCACGGAATTGCTACTAAAATTTAATTAGGCACCTGCTTTTATACATTTTTCTATTGCATAACAGTTCATACCTCATTCTACAAAGCAAAATCATTTTTGCATAAAAAGAACCAGGTAATACAGAGCCCAGTTTGAACTGCATCATTTTAGTTCTGGAAGAACATTATGTGGGGCCCATCTTTGTTGCTTTTAATTTTTAAAAACTATTTGTGATCTTATTGTTGCCCAAGCCAAGTCTTTGAGTAGCTAATAAACTGCACGTTGGGCCCCTGGATTATTTTCTGTAAAGTTTATGGATTCCCAAGGTATCCTTCACCCTCTTCATTTTCATTCTTAGGTATTTGCTTAATTAAAAACCAGAAAGGAAACAAACCAACCTTGTCTAAAATAGAAGATTGTAACAAGTAATGGTCTTAATGTCAGAGTTTGAGTTTCAGAAATAGCTGGGCTACAGTCAAGTTCTGCAGCTCTCTGGTCAGGCAGCTTTTTACCAAAAGAAATTGATTTTGTAGACTCTCAGTTGGCTATTTCTTACTGGGAGCCTGAGAATGCCCTTCAGCTCTTCCAGAGCCTCACTTTTCTTTTTTTTGAGACAGAGCTTCAAGCTATCCCCCTGGGTAGAGTGCTGTGGCATCATAGCTCACAGCAACCTCCAACTCCTGGGCTCAAGCGAGTCTCCTGCCTCAGCCTCCCAAGTAGCTGGGACCACAGGCCCCCTCCACAACGCCTAGCTATTTTTTGGTTGCAGCCATCATTGTTGTTTGGCGGGCCAGGCTGGATTCGAACCTGCCACCTTAGGTGTATGTGGCTGGTGCCTTAGCCACTTGAGCCATAGGCGCCAAGCCAAAGTCTCACTTTTTAAGAAATTACAGGTCAATTTTGTGAAAGTTTTCTAAAGGAGCATCATTGGTGCAGATTTATGAATTGTGTTTAAGAGGTTCGTGTGGAAAGTTGTATCACACATAGCAATTTCCAAAAATATTTACCATCATGGGTAGTGCTTTGATTATAAAACATTATAATAAGGTTTGCTTTGGGAGGTACTTTAGGATAAATATGGTCCTTCATTGGGTTATCTGGTGACTGAAGGGTATAATATTTTATTCAACATTGACAGAAATAATCAAAAGATTTTGCTATATAGAATGAGTACTTTGTCCCAACGTCTGAAATAAATTTAGAAAACACACATGCAAGAATCTATCTTCTAAAATATTAGGTTGCTTTTCTAACTTTAAGGGACTGTCCTTACTTTTAATCTTATAACTGTGCTAACATTCTAGGCTGAAAATAGAGATGCATGAGGGTGTTCTCAGTCTTCATGTCATGCCTATTAATATTGTGCATGTTCAACCCACATTTTGGTCTTCATATGTTTCTGTGCAGAATTACTCCTAAATAATGAAAGCCCCTCGAGGTTAGTGTAATTTAGAGCAAATGGTACTTTAATGAGGGTGTTCTTGCTCTTGCAGATAGTGAAATATCTCTGTTGGCAGTTTTTAATAGAAAGTATTCTTTTTGTCATCAGTAAATCTTATCAAAAGTTCAGGACAGGAGCAAATTCTGTAGTTGATTAGAATAAGATGATGAAATTGTTTTTTATGTAATATATGAATGAAGTTAGTACTGTTTGGATCTCCCAAATTTTGAAAATAGTGACAAATACTCCTACTTTATACAGTAACATACTGCTGAAACCAAGAATCCCAGGTGAACTTTTTTTCTTTTTAGTTTATTTACTGTGGCATCCTAAACCCTGTTTTGGTAGGGGACTGTACACCAGAGGTTGAGAACAATAGATTTCCCCCTTTTCTCCATCTGTCTATAAAGCAAATACTTACTAAGAAATAAATCAGAGTGGCACCTGTGGCTCAAAGGAGTAAGGCGCCAGCCCCATATGCGCCAGCCCCATATGCCAGAGGTGGCGGGTTCAAACCCAACCCTGGCCAAAAACTGCAAAAAAGAAAGAAAGAAAGAAATTATTATTTATACCTGCAGTTATAAAAGTTCACTACTGTTTTTGAAATCCTTAATGATAATATCTCAAAGAACACAATAAGCATTTTAAAACCATGTTAACATACAACTTTCAGTTTCTTTTTCTTATTAAGAATGCTTACAGTTGGCGCCTATAGCTCAGCAGGTGGGGTGCTGAGTTCGAGCCTAGCCCAGGCCAGCTAAAACAATAATAACAACTGCAGCAAAAAAATAGCCAGGCCTTGTAGTCCCAGCTACTTGGGAGACTGAGGCAAGAGAATAACTTAAACCTAAGAGTTTAAGGTTGCTGTGAGTTGTGACAGCACAGCACTCTACCGAGGGGTGGCAACTTGAGACTCTATCTCTAAAAAAAAAAAAAGAAAGAAAGAAAGGATGTTGACAAACAGGACTTTTTTTCTTATGTGTATATTATCATCTCCTTCCCCATTTAAAATATACTTAATTCTCATTTGTGTTCTTCACCTGAAGGTTTGTTATTTTAAGGTGGTGGTTCTTAGTATTAAAAAGTTCTCACCTTTGGCCAGGTGCGGTGGCTCACATCTATAATCCTAGCACTCTGGAAGGCTGAAGTGGATGGATTGCTTGAGCTCAGGAGTTCGAGACCAGCCTGAGCAAGAGTGAGACCCCATCTCCACTAAAAATGGAAAAACTAGCCAGGCATTGTGGTAGGCGCCTGTAGTCCCAGCTACTCGGGAGGCTGAGGCAAGCTAGAGCCCAAGAGTTTGAGTTTGCTGTGAGTCACAATGCCGCAGCACTCTACTTAGGGTAACAGAGTGAGAGACTCTGTCTCAAAAAATAATAAGTTCTCATCCTTGATTTTTTGCTGTGGAAATGATCAGGGCAGTTTAATATCCATTTTGGGGATCATGGGCCCAGACCCTTTGGGAGTCTAATGAAATCTAAGGACTTTCCCTCAGTGTACACATACAAATATATGTTAAATTTTGCATGCTAGAAATTTCAGAAATATTTGCCCTTCTAGAGTCCATTTATTGATCCACCTTCTTAAAAAACTGAAGGGTTTGCTCTATGCCCCTTGAAACGTAGAGACATGTGTTACCTGTCTGGAGAAATAACACAAGGTCTGCGAAGTGCATTGTGTCTGTCCTGGAATAAATGCTTATTTAGTGGTATCATAATTATATCCTTGAGGCTTTCCAGTATGTTAAGAATACTGCACCATTAGCTTCATAAATTTATACATTCTTTTAAAGATCATAGTTTAGAACTTCATGCCTAGAGTAGAATGTGCCCACTTCCAGTGTCCTTTCACAGCCACACCTGCCTACAGGCTGCAGAGTCAGTTAAGAATGGGTTTTGTCTGGGCAAGGTGGCTCCCGCTCATGCCTGTAATCCTAGCACTTTGGGGGACCAAGGCCAAGAGTTAACATAGTGAGAACCTGTCTCTACAAGGAATTTTTAAAAAAAATTAAGCCAGGCTTGGTGGCATTCACCTATAGTCCCAATTACTTACGAGGTTGAGGCAGGAGGATCACTTGAGTCCAGGAGTTTGAGGTTACAGTTACCTGTGCTGTGCCACTGATTCCAACCTGGGCAACAGAGTGAAATCCTATCTGAAGGGCAAAAAAAAAGTGGCTTTTACATTTTTAGAGGGTTGTTAAAAAATATATGTATGTGTATGCATGCACAACAGACCGTATATGTCTCTCAAAGTCAAAAATATTTACTCTCACTTTTCAAAAAAAAAGTTTGCCAAGCCCTAGATTAAACCATTTTAAATATTTCTATTGAATACAATGCTGTTCAGCCGACTTCATTAAGAAAACCCTGTCATGAACAGTCATATGTCTTTTATTTAATCTGGGCAATCCTTCTCTTCAGGCTATTTATAATAGTTTAAAAATATCTTTTGGGGATGGGAAGAGTTCTGATAGCTTGCCCTTTTCCTCTTAACCATGCAGTGGCACTGTTGGTAGCCAGTATCATTTGGGTACAAGCTAGACCCTGTTATATATAAAGCAGAATTTTTTAACCCTTCAACTATATTGTGCTCAGAAACAAAATGTGCCTACAGGAGTCATTTGCACTAAAGGAACATCTTGTTTGAATACCTGTAGGCGCTATTCACAGTCAGAAGGTTAACACTACGTTAACTTAATCTATTAATACTGTCAAAATTCTATAGAATTAAAGTTGCAGCAAAAAAATTGTCCTTATGTCTATGTAGAGGAGGATATTTAAGAGAATATCTTACTGTTTTACCTTATCTGTTAATATTTTGGATCAAAAGCTACAAGATTACACATTTTCTGAAGGAAAATGTTAAAGGATTTAAGTAGTAGACAGTTATAGCTAACACTATATCAATATCAAGATGGGTCTCTTCATACTGTTGCTAGTACTCTTTGATTCTAATTACTTTCCCATATTTGTATTCATGAAGTAAGTACAAACTTGGAAAAGACATTATTTTCTACCAACTGACAGTTTTCTTCAATCCTGCAAATAGTAGAACGTTAGGAATATGTAAAGATTTCATTTCTGAGAGATGGAACACAACTATAAGAGGGACTTACTAACAAACGCAAACAGTGTAACCTAATTCTTTGTACTCTCAATGAACCTGAACCAATAAATAAATAAATATTTCACTTTTGTTGGAAAAGTTTTTATTTAAAGTTCCTATTCTAAACTGAGCTGCACACTCGTGTGATACATAAGTTGACTTAGCCTCTGTAAGAGAGTAATTGCATCTTTAAACAAGAGTTTTCGTATCATATTTTTAGATCCTTAAATTAGGATGACAGATGTGAAGAAAAATATTCATAAAGGGAAAAGTATATTGATTTTTTTAGCTGTGTTTTTTTTTATAATCTATACACTAACTCTCTCAGCTTATTAACATTCCCATCATCCAAGATACGCATTCTTACATTTCTTCAGAGTTCTCTGTTTTCATGATTATATGTAAAAATCCAGTTCAACATAGTATATAAAACCTGCTGGCCTTTTTTTAGATAAGCATCTTCTTGTCTGTGTTCCTCTTTAAAATAATACTGCCATGAAATACAAGTGATCCCAGAACTGTCATTGATAGCTTTATATTTTTAACAAGTGTTCTTTTTTAAAAGCAACTGAATTTTTTTAAGTGTGGTTTAAATATTTTGAATTTTTAGAAAACATGTCAGCAGTTGTAATTATTTACCAAGAAATGGAGATTCTCTTTTAAAAGCAATGGGGAAGGCTGGGCAAGGTGGCTCATGCCTGTAATCCTAGCACTCTGGAAGGCCGAGGCTAGGTGGATCACTTGAGCTCAAGAGTTCAAGACCAGCCCGAGCAAGAGCAAGACCCCATCTCTAAAAAAATAGCTGGACATTGTGGTGGGTGCCTGTAGTCCCAGCTACTTGGGAGGCTGAGAAAAGAGGATTGCTTGAGCCCAGGAGTTTGAGGTTGCTATGAGCTATAACATCATGGCACTCTACTGAAGGTGATAAAGTGAAACTCTGTCTGGGGGGAAAAAAATGAGCATATAAAGATTTACATGGTTTTTGATTCAAAAAGTGGAAAACCCAGCTAGGAATGGATATTCACTCCTGAATTCTGACCATAGGCAAATATCTACCTCTGAAGAGATAGACTGGGTTTGCTTTTAGATCCAGGTCCACCAGCCATGGACTGTGGTTACCTTACTCACTGGCTTAATACAGACTAGTAATGGATCACTTAAGAGAAAAATTTTCATTTGGCAGTCTGGCAGTTTTGGAGACAATTTTTTATTTCTGTGGTCACAGCACACACCTGGCTAAGTCCAGAGCTTTGTGTCCTTTTAACCTCTTGCTGGATTTCTCTGCATTTTCTACAGAAAGATTGTAAGTAAAATAGATGGCGACAAGGACGGGTTTGTCACTGTGGATGAGCTCAAAGACTGGATTAAATTTGCACAAAAGCGCTGGATTTACGAGGATGTAGAGCGACAGTGGAAGGGGCATGACCTCAATGAGGACGGCCTCGTTTCCTGGGAGGAGTATAAAAATGCCACCTACGGCTACGTTTTAGGTAGGTCCCTACTACCTGTGGGAAAAAGCCTTGTGGAGCTGGCACCTTGAAACGTAACTGTTTTGTCTTGTAGAATGATTGTAGATAAAATAGACGCGGATAAAGATGGGTTTGTGACGGAGGGGGAGCTGAAATCCTGGATTAAGCACGCCCAGAAGAAATACATATATGACAATGTTGAAAACCAATGGCAGGAGTTTGATATGAATCAAGACGGCTTAATCTCCTGGGATGAGTACAGAAACGTGACTTATGGCACTTACCTGGGTAAGGGGCAAGATGTCAGCCTGACAGGACCACGGTCTTGAGTCAGAGAAACAAATGGGTCACACAGTAAGGGAAAGGAAGACACTGTGCTTATCTTAGTCAATGCTGAGTGGATTTCCCTTGTTTTGTTTACAAGTAAATTTATGTATTATGCATTTTTAATTTGTTTAATTTTGGTTTTCTTAAGTGTGGCATCTTCTACATCTTTAGCATTTCAAATGTATTTTACCATTTTTTCTTTCTGTCATCCCTTACAGAGATAATTTTTAAAATGGATTTTATTTAAAAGGCTGCATTTTTCCAACTGTGCTAAGTAAGAGGCTTTAAGATGTCTCTTGACATGGTCCCATTAAAGTGTTGGACCTAAAATACAAACCAGATTTGATTTCTTTATAACTGGTTAGAATAGGAAGAAAATCACTATCTTTCTTTAATAAAACAAAATTCAAATAAAATGGCTTTCTTTGATAAAATTTAACTATTTCATTATGTCTGCTTACTAAAGCTTAGAAATGAAAATTCCCATTTGTTTTCTCTGGCCCATGAGTTTATCAGCCCGCTTTGCAGTTGCTTCAAGGCAGATAAATACTACTTTGATTGCTTTCTATTGATCTGTAGCTTGTATGCTTGGGCCACCTGTTTGTAATTTTTTCTTTCTTTCTTTTTTTTTTGAGATAGAGTCTCACTTTATCATGCTTGTTAGAGTGCTGTGGTGTCACAGCTCACAGCAACCTCAAACTCTTGGCCTCAAGTGATTCTCTTGTCTTAGCCTCCAGAGTAGCTGGGACTACAGGTGCCTGCCACAATGCCCAGCTATTTTTAGAGATGGGGGTCTCACTCTGACTCAGGCTGGTCTTGAACCTGTGAGTTCAGGCAATCTACCCACCTCGGCCTCATGGAATGCTAGGATTACAGGCGTGAGCCACTGTGCCCCGCCTGTAATCTTCTTTTATTTAACTATACTTGCCTGCTTTAGGTGGTGATTTCACTAATTGATGACCTAGAGTGTTGGTGAGATTCTTTTATTGCACATGGTTACAGTTGGAGACAAGAGTATATAAATGGAACTTTTTGCACTTTTATTCTGGAAATTAGGCAGACTTCTGGATCAAAGCAGGCATTCTCCACCACTGACTAATAGTGAGTGTATAATGATCTGTTTCCCCACTGGATAGCCAGCTGTCTGTGTTAATTACAGGACGGAATGCATTTCTAGTGAAGAGACTTTTATTTTTGTGTCAGGCTTGTTCTCATTCCTAAGACTAAAGTGGTGATCTCTCTTAATGCTTGACACTTAGCCAGGAACCAAACATATCCTTCACCCAGTTAAGAATGCATGTATTAAAAAGTCAGGGCAGATGGAGAGGCATCCTGCTCTCTGGCTAAGACCCAACACCTTCTTGATTTATTTGGAATTAATTATAAAACAAAGGGTAGGCTATTGACTAAACAAAATGGTGTGTTAATAAATCTCAGCTCAGACTTGTGCACTCACTTGCTGCCCAGAGTGATTGTTCAACTCTGTGTATGATTATGTATAAGCATAAAAATCTGTTGAGAGCTCTGTTGCCTCACAGGGCAGATGATTCAGTGTAATGGGCATTTCTACTGACGGAGACTATGCATAAGCTGAAGAAGCAATGTCTTTATAAGGCGTCTTTCCCTGGAGGTGGGCGGGTGAGGAGAGCTCAGCAAGTTATGAGCTGGCTTAGAGAAGTACAGAGGAGTTGTTGTGGAATTATGTTCTTGATTCAGTTTTGACTTCAAGTTTAAATCTTTGTACCTCTTAGTTAAAATCTGTCTCAGTGAATCCACTATTCACAAGAGGAATGTTAACACTATCTCTGCCGCAAGTAAAATACGAAATACTAAGATCCACCCTTGTCCACAGCCAAACTAGATCAATAGCTCACCCAAGCCAGCTGGGGCCAAAACTGGTGCTTAGGGTTGATATAGCACTTTAAGCAGGGCTATAGGATAGGCTTTAGCCTGCAAAATAAAGTTTTGCATCTTTCTTTTTCCAACTTTATATGTGTACATGTTGCTATTAGGCTACTTGATTCCAGTCACTGTTTTACCTCTGCCACCCCAAGAAAGAGAGGAGAGCTCTTAGCTTAAGTCTTAAAAATACATATAAGTTGTGTCTTCTGTTATCTGTCTCATTTATGTTATAGAGTTGCTACTGAAACTTTTGTATTTGTTTAGAAGAGACAGCTTAGTATCTTAGTTCCTTAAATTCTCCATTTGTAGCCTCTGTTGGCTTTGAGTGTGCATATATGGAGTCCCAAAACCTGGTGACTAAATAAGCTGTCTTACTGAATTTTTACACTCAACAAAGAATAAGGTGTCAAGCTGCTCAACTCTCACAATAGAGCTATAATTTCTGGTTTTGTTTTTTTGAGCTGAACTTAAGAAGTATGGGGAAAGATTGACCTGCAGTATCAAAAGTCAGCAGTATAGTTATTGTTAAAAGGACCCTGTGAGTCTTTTCACAAAACTAGTGTCATATCTTTTTTTTTCAATCAGTATGTTGCAGGAACAATTTCTTACCTTTAATGTGATGTCTTTTACTTTTCAAAGTATCTTCACATCTGTTATATTATTTGGTTTACACAGCAACTTAGATTGAAAAAGTATTTTTATTCCTTTTCTGCAGCTAACTCCTGCACATTTTTTCAGAGTTTAAAGAAACTAAATTTTAGCCAGGTGTGGTAGCTCTCACCTATAATCTTTGCACTTTGGGAGGCTGAGGCAGGAGGATCACCTGGGGCCAGGAGTTTGAGGTTGTAGCAAGCTGTGATGATATACTCTAGCCCAGGCAACAGACTGAGACCTGTCTTAAAAAAATAAAAACAAACAAACAAAAAAACCAAACAACCCCTAAATTTCCTTTTTCTAGATTCTTAGAGACTAGGTAACTGCTGACTGTGCAGTTCACCATTGTTTTGGTTGTAATATGTGGATAATGGGGTGTTTTTTAGAAACAGTTTATTTGAGTTATTATTAACATACAATGAACTGTATACATTTAAGTGCAGAATTGATTAGTTTTGACATATGTATATACCAGTGAAAGTACCATTGCAGTCAAGTTGGTAAACATTAACCCCCACCCAAAATTTCTTCATGTTTCATGACCCTTCTCACCCTCCCTAAGCCCCTGTTCCTAGGCAACCACTGATCTACTTTCTGTAAGTCTAAATTAGTTTGCATTTTCTAGAATTTTACATAAATGGGGCATGAACAATACCTTTAACTCTTGATTTCTGGGTTGACTAAAAAAAACCAGAGCATGACCTTTTAAACTGTTGATGTTTTGTTGCTTGAATCCAAATGTCCTTGATATGGGACACTTTGGTATATTTCTTTTATATGGTAACCTAATATTTACTAAAAATAGCAATACCTGACATTTTAAGTGAACTGTGTGCCAAGCAGTGTTCTAAGAACTTTAGGTTTATTTTCTCATTTAAACCTCTTAACAATCCTATTAGGCAGGCACCATTATTCTCTCTTTTATAGATAAGGAGACTGAGACACAGTCAAGTTACTTGCCCAAAACTACACAGCTAGGAAATGGTAGAGTTCAAAAAGTATGACCTTAGAGCCACCACTGCCTCCCAGATATAACTAGGAAATTCAAGTCTTTTAGTAGCTTAAAGGCCAATAACAATGAAGCACTAAACACTTAGTTATATCATGCGGCAGCCAGAGTTCCATGTTGAATGGCACACGTTTACATTGCACTTGGACCTGATTCTATGGGCTGATTACTGGAGCTTTAACCTAAAACTAAATAAATGTCTTTATTCTGCTGTGATTTTACTTGTGTAATCAAGAGTTGTCTTTTCAATATTTGGTTTATCTTTATTGAAAATTGATTCTCGACCCACATTGTTTTGTGTTTTCTGGAACTCTTTTAAGATTTGACCTAAATTTTTGTCTTCTAGATGACCCAGACCCTGATGATGGATTTAACTATAAACAGATGATGGTTAGAGATGAACGGAGGTTTAAAATGGCAGACAAGGATGGAGACCTCATTGCCACAAAGGAGGAGTTCACAGCTTTCCTGCACCCAGAGGAGTATGACTACATGAAAGATATAGTAGTACAGGTGGGTAGGATCACGTATTCCAACAGGGACTCAGTTTCTCTTTTTTGTGGCTTGTGCCATCTTTGCTCTGTAGCCATTCCTGTGTATTTGGAGTCTAAGTCCATCACCGTTATTTTGTGACCTTGATCAAGTCATTTTTCATAGGTGTTTTAGGCTTTCTGTTTAGTACAGTAATACTCTATCTGGTAATGCATTTTGCCATTTTGCTAGTAATTTCATAGTAGAATGGGGGAAATCTTTTTTTTTTTTAATATCCCAATGACCAGTGGTCAGACCCTGAGTAGTAATAACAGTGAGACTGAAGAACTCCACAAAAGGCAGTTATTGGTAACACAGACCATCTATAGCTATAGACATAATCACTAGTCACACCTCCTATTAGTATGACTTTAAGCAGTGTTAGTGTTCACCCTCATAGCTATGTTAGGTTGAAGAAATTGCTAATGTTTTCCCATTTTCCAGCTAGAAAAACATGAATATCCTATGGTTTTCACCATATAGACATGCATAGGTGTGTGTATTTATCTCTTTTTTTTAATTTGTTGTGTGTATATATTCTATTTTTTTTAATGAATGGACATATTTACTAAAGTAAATACCCATACACTTTTCTGGCAAATTCACTAAGAGACTAATAGTCTTTTCTTATTCTTTCCCATTTAGGAAACAATGGAGGATATAGATAAGAATGCCGATGGTTTTATTGATCTAGAAGAGTATATTGGTAAGTCTCTGTTTCTGATATTTCTCGTATAAGAATCTGAGAAGCTTTGGAAGATGCATTTACCCATAGAAACAATTTACCTTCTGGTCAGCTTTCACCAGATCATTAAGCCAGACGATGAGTGTGATGAATAGTGAGTGTTGTTAAAATATCTATAGCAGCATTGTCTAATCAAAATACAAATGTGAGCCACATATGTAATTTTAATTCTGATCGCCATATTAAAAAGAAACAAATTATTTTAATGTTACTTAACCTAATATTATAAAATAAATACTACAATTTTCATTATTATCAATATAAATTATTGAGTTTTTAAATAGTTATACATATCTCAATTCAACCCAACTACGTATGAAGTGCTCAGTAACTGTATATGGCAAGTAGCTACCATACTGGACAACACAGATACAGTATATCCTAAAATCCCTCCGGAGTTGATGATCTTCTGTTCTATGTCTATGTTCTTCTTTGGTTCTTTAACTAGTTTCCTTTTTTTTTTTTTAAATAAATTGCTCCTTTTATCATTTTCCCTTTCAGTTTAAATTATTTTTCCAACTTTTTTTGGATGCTATACTTCATGGTTAATATCTCCCAAATAAAGCTTTGTTTTATTATCCTCAGAATAATTTTAAGGTTTTCTCATTGCTTTAAAATAGAGCTGCCTCTCTTGCCAAGTAGTTGAGCAAATTGTTTAACGATTACTATGATGGCTCAGCGCCTGTGGTTCGAGCAGCTAAGGCACCAGCCACGTACACCTGAGCTGGCGGGTTCGAATCCAGCCTGGGCCAGCCAAACAACAATGATGGCTGCAACCAAAAAATAGCCAGGCTTTATGGCTGGCACCTGTAGTCCAAACTACTTGGGAGGCAGAGGCAGGAGAATCACTTGAGCCCAGGAGTTGGAGGTTGCTGTGAGCTGTGATGCCACGGCACTCTACCTAGGGCAACAGCTTGAGGCTCTATCTCAAAGAAAAAAAAATTACTATGACAAAAATTGAAATGAGTAAAAGAGAAGAGATGGAAAGTGTTAGGACTGTTGCTACAAATATCATTCCATTTTGAAAGATACTAGATATTTTGATCTTTCACCTTCTTATTTTTACTCATAGTAACTTATTCTAGTACACAACTGGCTTTGTATTTCAGAAAAGCCAATTTAGGCTGGGCATAGTGGCTCACACCTGTAACCCTAGCATTCTGGAAGGCTGAAGTAGGTGGATTACCTGAGCTCAGGAGTTCAAGACCAACCTGAGCAAGAACAAGACCTGTCTCTAAAGGTAGCCAGGCATGGTATTGGGCTACTATAGTCTCAGCTCATTGGGTGGCTGAGGCTGGAGTATCACTTGAGCCCAGAAGTTTGAGGTTACTGTGAGCTATGATACGATGGCACTCTACCAGGGTGACAGAAGTGAGGCTCTGTCTCAAAATAAAAGCCAGTTTATTTTTAGACTTCTGAAAGGGAGAGTTAAGCCCTACCTCTATTACCTGTCATTAAACTGCCATTTAATGGACAAGTCACTTACTTAGTCTAATTGTGCCTGTTATTTATATTCTAGAGTTACTCTATTTGAATTACTCTTGAATATTTAGCACTTTTTTCTTCCAGGGCTCAATGATGTACTGATATACTTTCTGGTTTTTAGAGAAAGAGGGAAGAATAATGGAAGATAGAGTTTTTTCCCCAAATGATAGGTTTTTTAGTTTAGTTTTGGTTTTTTTTTGGTTTTTTTTTTTTTGGTTTTTGGTGGTATTCATCAGGACAGTGGATAAATGCCTAGGTACATTTACTGAGCCCAGGTTGACATTAATAGGATTTTCTACTTTTATTTGATCTTTCCATTCTTGGCTTATGCCACTTTATTGCCATTTCTAAAACTGGGAAACTCATTTGAACCTCTTGAAGAGAGGAATTAAGTTTTATAACTGTTAAGTACTACCACTTAGTAACCGTTGAGGCCAAATAAGGAGATATTTTTGTCTTCCTCCACATCATACTGTAGATTCAGAGGCAGAGGAATTATATTTTGAAACTGCCAAAACGAGAGAAAGAGAAAGACTTTTTGCAAGTTAGTAACTAAAGCAAACACTTTCACAGTTGGGGTGCTTGGGTTTATAACCCTAAAATTCTCCCTGACAGTACTTTCCAGTTTCTAGGGATATGCCAGTTTCTGCTGTTTTGAAAGAGATCATGAAGAAACAAATGTTCTTTGCTGTTAAATTTAACATTAGCTTTGGACGGGGTGCGATGCCCATGCCTGTAATCCTAGCACTGGGAGTCCGAGGCTGGTGGATTATCTGAGCTCACAGGTTCGAGAGCAGCCTGAGCAAGAGCAAGACCCCGTCGCTAAAACTAGCCAATTGTCTCAAAAAAAAAAAAAATTTTTTTAGCATTAATAAGAAGCATCCAGAGTTATGCTGTTTAATTCTTTTTATGTTTTTAATTTATTAGAGAGCATCCTTTCTCAGCCACTTGTCCTTGGCTCCTTTTTCATTTTGAAGTAAATCTCAATCATCATCTCAGTTCCTCTATAGACATTTGGTTATGCATCTTGAAGATATATCGATTTTTTAAAACTATAAAAAATAATCTCAGTCAAAAAAATTACCAATTCCTGAATATCATCAAATAGACTGAATCCTTCTTAAATGGAAATTCAAATAGTATTGATTATTTTATTTATTCATTTATTTATTTTGAGACAGAATCTCACTTCATTGCCCTAGGTAGAGTGCCATAGCATCATAGCTCACAGCAACCTCAAACTCCTGAGCTTAGGCAGTCCACCCACTTTGGCCTCCCAGAGTGCTAGGATGACTGGCAGGAGCCACCGTGCCTACCCAGGAATATTGATTTTTTACTCTTTACTCATTTATCTTTAAAATATCTTTGTATTATTGTATATTTTAGCTTCTTTTAAAGCTATGTCTCTTAAAGCATACATCAATTTCCTGTCTAATTTAGAACTTTCCAAGCTGTGTGCTATAAACAGGTCTCCTTAACCCAAGAGACAGTGAAGGCAGGGCCCTGGCCCAATGGACCATACACTACTTTTTCTGAATGTGCTATGTGTAGCGTGGGGAAAATTTGGCAAATCCTACTCTGAGGACCTTCTCCTTTGAGTTTAATCCAGAGGGAGTACTTCTGTCCATAACCCTCAAGTTCAGGAATATAATAGTACTAGCTAAATAACTACCTTTGCTTAGATTACTAGGAACTATTTAGACTTCTGGTTTTGTTGTTCTTTTTTTTTTTTGACAGAGTCTTACTTTGTCACCCTGGGTAGAGTGCTGTGGTGTCGTAGCTCACAGCAACCTCAAACTCCTGGACTCAAGCAACCTTCCCACCTCAGCCTTCTAAGTAGCTGGGACGGCAGGAAACTGCCATGATGCCTAGCTAATGTTTTTATTTTTATTTTATTTGTATTTTTTGCAACAGAGTCTCACTTAGTGGCTCTAGGGTTGAGTGCTATGGCATTACTGCTCACATCAACCTCACAGTCTTGGGTTCAAGTGATCCTCTTGCCTCAGCCTCCTGAGTAACTGGGACTACAGACACCTACCACAAAGCCCAGCTACTTTTTAGAAACAGATCTCTCATTCTTGCTCAGGCTGGTCTCAAACTCCTGAGCTCAAGCAGTCTGCCCTGCTTGGCCTCCCAGAGTGCTAGGATTACAGGCATGAGCCACCGAACCCAGCATATTTTTCAATTTTTAGTAAAGATGAGGTAGCCAGGCTTGGTGGCTCACGCCTGTAATCCTAGCACTCTGGGAGGCCGAGGTGGGTGGATTGCCTGAGCTCACGCATTTGAGACCAGCCTGAGCAAAAGCGAGACCCTGTCTCTAAAAATAGCTGGGTGTTGTGACAGATGCTTATAGTCTCAGCTACTCGGGATTCTCTGAGGCAAGAGAATTGCTTGAGTGCAAGGGTTTGAGATTACTGTGAGCTATGACACCATCACACTCTACCAAAGGTAACAAAATGAGACTCTGTCTCAAAAATAAAAAGAGAGAGACGAGGATCTCACATTTGCTCAAGCTGGTCTTGAACTCCTGAGCTCAAGCAGTCCACCTGCCTTGGCCTCCCAGAGTGCTTGGATTATAGGTATGAGCTACTCTGCCCAGCCTACTATTTAGACTTCAGTTAACTTAATGCAACACTTCATACGTTAATGCAACACAGGTACACTTAGTTATATGTAGTATAGCTCTGAAGTCTTTAGACTTTTTCATTCACAGAACTCTTCAGAAAATTTTGACAAACATTCACATCTGTAATCCTAATAATTTACATATTAACATTTTAAAGTACATTAATCTTGAAATAAATCTATAAAATTTAAATACCATATAACTTCTTACCTGCTATCATTCATATGAATAATATGAACAAACCAAGTTTAAAAAGATAGTGAGGCTCAGCGCCTGTGGCTCAAGTGGCTAAGGCGCCAGCCACATACACCTAAAGTGGCAGATTCGAATCCAGCCGGGGCCCACCAAACAACAATGATGGCTGTAACCAAAAAATAGCTGGGCGTTGTGGCGGGCACCTGTGGGCCCAGCTACCTGGGAGGCTGAGGCAAAAGACTCACTTGAGCCCAGGAGTTGGAGGTTGCTGTGAGCTGTGATGCCACGGCACTCTACCCAGGGGGACAGCTTGAGGCTCTGTCTCAAAAAA